GGCGCCTTAGCCGGTTGAGCTATAGGCGCCGAGCCGAATTGCTGTTTTTTCCACTGACAGTTTAAAATTTTAATGTTTTCAGCCAGTTAGGGCCTATCTTTCTTCTGTCTCTTCTTTTTGTTATTTTGTGTTTTTTGTTTGTTTTATTTATCTGTCTCTTTTCCATAATGTTTCTGATGGCTTAGCTCCTATATCCTGCATTGACCTGGCTAGTTTATGCTTATGTCTAGGATAAAACATAATAAAACACAACAATAAAAGGCTTTAATTTTTAATGTGCTTTTTCACAGTAAGTAAAATTCATTGTAAGGAATTCATTCAGTATTAACCTTAAAGCCTCCTTTTAAACTTTTCAAACTCATAGAATGAAATTTCTCACTAACTTCTAATCAACTGGGGGAAGATGTGGAATTAAGACCTCAAATTTCTATACTGGAGGGTTGCATCTTGCAATTTGTACATTGAGGAGGATTGCTTGAGGCCAGAAGTTTGAGACCAGCCTTATAGGCGAAATGCCTATATGCCTCTGGCCAAAAAAGCCACTTGAGAGAAAGCAGTGAAAAGACTTTGTGCAGACATACTTAAGAAACTGAGGCACAATCCCATGTAGCCAGGTTAGTTGGGGGCCTAACATGAACAAAGTTTTGGTTGGAATAGCATTTCCAGACTGCGTTAAGGAATTAAGGTTGACTTTATAAGACCTATGAGAAAGCCCTTTGGAACACTGGCCAGATACCCATCAATAACCTTTCCTGATCTGTGGTAAGTGATGAAGGTTGCTTGCTGACAGGTTTGGGAATGGTAATATCATACAAGTATCTAATGGCACAGATGAAACTTGGGCTCATGAAAGGCTTTTGAGAAGTCCAGCCTGAGAATTCCTTATAAAAGGCTCCAGCAAAACCACCCATCAAGGCCTACATGGGAGCAGAGGTTTGCACACAAACTCCTATATGCCCAAGAAGTTTCTCTATGCTTTGCTTAAAGATTCAAAGTGACTGCCTCCATATGGCATGGTCGGTAGAACAGACATTCAAATCCTCCAGCCTCCCCCCCACCCCCCTCCCCCCGTAGCCTCAGGCTTCATCAGATAAGATCAAAGAAAGTAATAACTGACAACATGTTCTTCATTAAGTTATGTTAAACCAG